TTCCCCCACCCGGCCCCCTCCCTCCTTCCTTTCCCTGGATCTGCCTGGCCTGGCCCCCACCAGACGTACCAGATTCAGGGAAGGCAGCAAGAAGCCATCAGACTCAGAACTGTGGGAGCGCTTCAGGGGCACCACCTCCAGGAAGTCAGTCCCTTCCTCCTCCAGGCTCAGCTCCAGGGCCCTGCAGATCAGAGAGGTGACAGGGGGGTAAAAGGGGCACCCTCCTTCCTTTCCCTGGATCTGCCTGGCCTGGCCCCCACCAGACGTACCAGATTCAGGGAAGGCAGCAAGAAGCCATCAGACTCAGAACTGTGGGAGCGCTTCAGGGGCACCACCTCCAGGAAGTCAGTCCCTTCCTCCTCCAGGCTCAGCTCCAGGGCCCTGCAGATCAGAGAGGTGACAGGGGGGTAAAAGGGGCATGGAAGGAATTGGCTGACCCACCTCACTACAAGAGGGACCCAGAGCAGGGCAACCACAAGGCTGACAAACGTCACGTGGGCCAAAGGAAGCAAAGAATGTACCGGTGGGACTCCCTGCTGCAGGAATTGACTAGGGTTAAAATTTGGACAGGGGTGCCGGGCTACATGGGTCTGATTTGGGGTGGCTGGGATGGGTCATGGCCCCAGTGGTTCATACCCCACCCTCTCACCTCTTCCTAGCCCCCATGTGAGAGGCACGGTAATCCTTCTGGTTGCCTCCTGGGGGCACCATTGGCCCCTCCAGGTCCATGGGCTCCTCTTCCGGGGGCTGAAGGGACCGGGTCTGGCTCAGGCTGGTCTCGCTGCCCCAACGGAGCAAGCCGGGCAGGTCAGGTTCACGGCCAGACACCCCATGGAAGCTGCTGGAGCGAGGCCGTGGCGGGGGGGAGGCCGGGGGCAGCGGGGGGCCCTTTCTCCTGGCCGCAGCAGGATCGCCCCGCTTCTCGGCCAGCCAGGGGGGCTGCTCGGTGCCGCTGAGCTGGAAATCGTCGTCCATCGAGATGTACGGAGCCAGCATCTCCAGGTCGAGCGCCTCGTAATCCTGCAGGGGCAGCCCAGCATTAACCCCCACCCTCCCCCAAGATGCAGCCACCTCTGGGGCAAGGCCCCTGGGGGCAAGACCACACGTATGGCTCCAGGAGGCAGGAACCGGGGCCGGAGGGAGAAGGGAGCTGGGAGCCCTGGGGGGACAGAGTCCCTGGGCAACAGAGCCAGCATCTCCAGGTCGAGCGCCTCGTAATCCTGCAGGGGCAGCCCAGCATTAACCCCCACCCTCCCCCAAGATGCAGCCACCTCTGGGGCAAGGCCCCTGGGGGCAAGACCACACGTATGGCTCCAGGAGGCAGGAACCGGGGCCGGAGGGAGAAGGGAGCTGGGAGCCCTGGGGGGACAGAGTCCCTGGGCAACAGGGGTCACT